GGGGGGGGGGGGGGGGGAAGCGGAAGACCAGCTCGATGCTAAGAGCATGTCTGAGGTCTGAGCTGCAGGTATGATCACGCAGCAGCATTCGCTCAAAAGAAGATGGTGCGCACCTACATATGTTGGGTAAGCTACGGCATGGCGTGGTGCGGCCGGTACAGAATGATTCATAGCAGCGGTCCTTTCAGCAAGCTGCTGTGAGGTCCAAGTGGGCGTNNCAGGCGGGCTCAGACCGCAGGATTTAGGCCCCTACGAGGAACATAATAGTGGAAAAGAGTGGAACATCGACAAAGAAATCCTCTGGTACCCTGCTCTGTGCCGGCACGAGGCATGCGAGGTTGGGGAAGTCCTCCTGCAACAGATCAGGTATGATCTGCTGGTGGTGGTGGTGGTGGTGCGGCAGTCTTGTCATCGTCGTTCATGGAATCAGTTATTCCCGTTGGAGTTATTTTGTTGCGACCCTTAATTATTAGGATCAGTCATCTTTAAGATTGCTCTCACTACATGTCTGTTCGTCTCTTGTCGCTGCTGCTTGCTAACATGCTTTATTCTGACCAAACCACTAGCACTGCCTTGATTGCCGATCCACTTTTGATCGACTCTGGTAAATAGTAGCAATTTGTACCAAGCAGCCACCTGCGCCTCGCTCGAGCCACCTTTGCTAGTAGCCAGCTGTGTTTGGCAAACCCGGCAATTCACACGGAGATGCTGGTTGGCAAACCCAGNNCCCCCCCCCCCCCCCGCCCTGTGACCTGTGAGCCCCCAGCAGGCCGCTGGGCGCAGATTCTTCCGCGTTCTGGCACTTGCAGGGCCCCTAGGAGACTCGGAGAAGAATTTGCACCCCAACCCAAACAAAGCCCCTTTGAGCCCCCCAGGCTCCCTTCCACGTTTTGGTGTTTCCGAACCCACCCTTCAACCCTCACAGCCCCCACCGAGCCCCCCCAGCACCACACGTGCAGATTTTTCCGCGCTTTGTTGCCATGGGACGAACCGGAAGCCTGCAATTCGAGGCCTCTCAGATCGTCGATAAAAATGTTGCCAGCAACCGGTGGCTCGTTGAGAAGTTTTAAACTGGGTTTTCGGGAGACTCATCAGCCTCTGAACCCACGGTTACATCGAAATAACGAGCATCGGAAATGCGGAACCAGTGACTAACAGAATCTACTGGACACGGAATGTTAAACCAGCATAGGTACGCGGAAGCCTCACCTATGAAGTCACACTTGCCGATTAAATAAATAGCGAACCATCGGAACCGCCAACCGGAACCGCACAATTGCACAATGATTAAGGTTCGGCTCACGGAACCCGCGCGGAAACGAGCGGCCATACTGAAACGGTGGCAATAACAGCAATAATAGCAATAACAGTACAGTAAAAATAATGATGACACTTAGAGTGGCCTGGCCTCGAAGGGATGGGATTCCACAGCCTCCACCTGCCGGCCAAGCGCCGACTGAGCGAGGCCTCCTGACACCACGTGGGGCTCTCGTCAGTTACTGCAAGGCATGATCAGACGGGTTCACTTCATGGAGGATCCTACCTTGTGCTGAAAACTTGTTTGGTCTGATCTGCTACTTTGGGGTGTCTTGTCTTCTTGACGCACCAATCCAGCGGGCCTGCTGAAATCCAGTGGTGGGCGAGCAGATCATCCTAGGGCCGCAACCATGGAATGCAATCGGCCCAAACACTTTGCTGCATGGCTTGCCAGAATGGAATTTATTCAAACTATTCAAACTGCTGAATTTCGGCAGGCCGCGGTGAGATGCCGATCTTGGTCGGCCATGTTGCCTAGGTGCACACACTGAAGACAGGCAAGACATCAGGGTCATCAGTGCAATCCATCGAACGCTGTCAGCATGGGACATTGGCAGCTCTCGTCCGACGTTGCACTTCACAATCGCATCATAATTCATAATCTCCTATGACACGCCTCGAAGACCCGGCGGCCAAAAGAGAGTTCTCAAAGCAGAATGGGCCCAGTTGCTGGTGTGGCAATGCATGGCCGGAACATGAACCATCGGCACAGCGGTGTAGAGAGCACAGTAGGCCAGGGAGATCTCATTGGACCCGGTATAGGGACAAGTCCTCCACCACGGCTCGCAACTCTCAACAGGCTTTGTTCAGCTACGTGCTGTCGTCAGATTGCACAGGGAGGCATCGCGGCCCAAGCCCGGCCCAGCCCGGTTCTTGCAGGAGGCGTGCGGCGCCAGCAGCTCGAAGGCCGCACGGCTCAGGATCGCCGCACCCGCGCTGAGGCAGGGCCGGTCGAAGTCGTAGACCTGCAGCGAACGACCCCCCAACGCTTCTCCGCCCCGCTCCTGATGACCAGCTCAGCCTCGGTGTCGGAGAGAACCTGGGCTCCAAAAGCAAAGCGAGCGCTGATCGCAGGCACAGTTCGGATCTTTGGTGCGCCGGGCTGCATGCGTGAACATCACCGGGTGCTGGTCTTTGGACGCGTGGCCGGCCAAGAAGTAATAGAGCCGCGCAAGGTTTACATACACGTCGTCATCGAGGACCACGATCCAGCGTGTATCCGGAGGGAGGCCACCGGGCTGCTGCAGGGTACGGACTTGGTTCATCCAGATCATGAGGCCTTAGATTCTTAGATGTCGCAGGACCGCATCTGAATCTGGCCCGGCTATTTATTGGATTATTGGAAGCCGCACGTGCGCCCTGCGCACCTGCATTGCGTATTCTGCAGACGCGGGACGAGACACGGCAACACCGTCCCGATTTCCTCGGCCGTGCGAACGCAATTACGTGCTTTCAGGCAAGAAGCGATGGGACCCTCTGCTCACGCCATGATTCGCCGCGGACCCGGCGTGCCATCGTTCATCACAACCTGGGAGCAACTGCCCGGGATGGGAGCTGCTCGGGAAAACCCGTGTCCCCTCGTGCCTGGCAGCTCATGGGGATGCCTGTGGCAACGAGTGGCGATGCACATCATACGCTTAAGAGTGGCGGTGCACCTACCTAGTATTCTGGGAGCCGGCCTGGCAGGAGGGCATCCACCAGGTAGATCCGGTTGGCTGCCTCTCAGAGCCATCTAAAAAGGTGTGAGGCCGGAGCACTCATTCCTCATTGCAGCCGGGAGGACAGCGTGCATCCAGGTCCGCTCCATGCGAATCGCGAACTCGGCCCTGCAACAGGACTCCCATGCTCTTACAGGGCCTGCGACAAGACAGGAAGCCTTCCATGACATGACAGCCACCTCTCCAAGGAGGCGACCGCCACAAAGTAGATGTGTCGCAGGCCCAGCTCCTGCCCGCGAGCTGGGAACGATCTGAAAATCTCTGAAACCACTGCAGGAGGTCTGAGCCAGTATAGCCATGCGGTGTATCTTCTGAGTTCGCATCTGCTCGACTCAAGATGCGGATGACGTGCAGTTGGCAGATCCCTGTTGGCAAACAACATCGACGGACAGGCCTCATGGCAGTGAGGGCGAAACAGGGCACAAAGCAGTGAAGAGTAGCTCTGAGGTGGCACTGCTGGCGCAGACTCATTAACTGCATACCTCCTGCGCTCAACAAACACGACAGACACACTCACGCACACACACACACACACAGCAGCAGCAGAAGCGAGGTTGGCGGAAATGTGGGAGTGTCACCAGCACGACAGATATGACCCTAGGTTGTAAGCCATGGCTGTGCTTGCAACGGCTCATATCCCGCAACAACCAACCAGCTTAGGCAACCCAAGTTGCATCCTTGTCCACGCGCAGCGGCGCTCCCAGCGACTCCTGCTGCACCAGGTTCACATAGTCGCCGAGGGACCAGAAGCCTCCGAAGGAGCTGAGGCAAATCGAGTGAGAGAAGAGAAAGAGTTTTATATATATATATATATGTATATATGTATGTGTAAAAAAAAAATATATATATATATATACCAGTTTCTGCGATCTCCACCACTCACAAAGTTCGCTGAACAGCCCGCGATCGCACAACTTCTTTTATGCGACCGCAACATGGGATTTGGTCGCACTGTCGATCAGATCAAAACTTCACTCGATCTTCA